AGGGCCCTAGACCCTAAACCCTGAACCCTCGACCCAAAATACCCTAGACCCTAAACCCTAAGCCCTAAACCAATTCGCAGGTTTCGGGTTTCACTTGTGATTCAGGGCTTAGGCTCAGGGTTTTAGTGTGGGGTCTGATGGTATGAATGTCTCTGAGAGACCTGTGTGTTAGCCTCGTGGCATACAGCGTAAGATGCATGTCGCAGTGATTGAACTGGAGCTGTGGGGCTTTATACATGTTTCCCGGGGCGCCATGTGACTCGAGTACTGTTACTAGCTATTCATGCATTCAGGACCCTTTATCGTGCTTTTGGATTTGGGATTGGGGTGCGCTCAGGGTTCAGTTTGCCTTAGTTTGGTGATGTCGGGATAGGTCATTGGGGATTATCGGATGGTTGCTGCAGCCTCAGCCACATCTACACCAAAGAGCCTCGATGCATTGATTTCTGCAGCTCATTGCGAAATGCGTAGCCAAAACATGGAAACCCACACAACTAAAATCAGAAGCTCGCAGCCCTTGTCGCAGTGCATATGTCTAGGTTCCTGAGTAGTACCTTTTTCCCTTTTTCTTTTAGGGTCCCGTTATTAAAAACCGAATAGTAGGAACAAAAGGGTATCCTTGTTATAAAGGGGCTACTCAGAAACCTAGATGTGGTCTTCACGAAGTAGCCGCGGTTTTCCTTCAGAGGACTGGCAGACTTTCATTCTAACTGCGGACGCTGTCTTAGCCGATGTGCGCTGCAAGTGGAGTGACGGATCCCTGGGTGGGCTCTTATAGTGCTTATAATTGTTACCCCGCTCCGTTCTTCTTATCATGACGGTTTGTAGCATGGCAACCCTTAGCCCTAAACCCCTAAACCCTAATTCCTAAACCCTTGACTTGACTCGTTATATTAGGCATGATACACGAATATGAATGAAGAACGAAACGACGAGGGAGACATAGAGCCTCTTATGCAGGTCTGTCTGTCTGTCTGTCTGTCTGTCTGTCTGTCTGTCTGTCTGTCTGTCTGTCTGTCTGTCTGTCTGTCTGGAGGTTTAGGGTTTCGGGTTTAGGCTGTCTGTCTGTCTGTCTGTCTGTCTGTCTGTCTGTCTGTCTGTCTGTCTGTCTGGGGGTTTAGGGTTTAGGGTTTAGGCTGTCTGTCTATCTGTCTGTCTGTCTGGCGGTTTAGGCTTTAGGCTGTCTGTCTGTCTGTCTGTCTGTCTGTCTGTCTGTCTGTCTGTCTGTCTGTCTGTCTGTCTGTCTGTCTGTCTGTCTGGGGGTTCAGGGTTTGGGGTTCAGGCTGTCTGTCTGTCTGTCTGTCTGTCTGTCTGTCTGTCTGTCTGTCTGGGGGTTTAGGGGTTGGGGTTGAGGCTGTCTGTCTGTCCGTCTGTATGTATGTATATGTATATGTATAAGTATAAGTATATGTATATG